TCCTCCTAGACTGGTTGCTTACCACAGCTAGAGGGTTTAGTCTGTCCTGCTATTTAATCCAATAGGCAGGAGAATAAGAGATAGATTCATCCATGAGTATTTGTGCAAAAGTGAATTTAACAAATTTGGCTGGATTTGAACCCTCTTTATTGGTTTCTTATTTTGAATTGATAAATGTTACACCCCCTGCACATACAAATGAAAATACAGAATGTATTTTGTTTGTGTATATTACATATTTTTGATGAAAATATATTTTGCATGTGTGTGCTCATGGTTCTGCAAGGTGCTTAATGAAACATAATCAGAAAGGTATTTTTTTTTTCTTCTGTGATAAAAGTCAACAGGTAAATAGTATATTCTACGAGGCCAGGATTTCCAGGTGAGGGCACGAAATATGTCAACCTTTTTGTAAAGTATTCCAGGTGAGATTAAGAGGAAACATAGGCTTCTTTCTGCTGGAATATTAAGAAAAAATATGGAAAAATGAGAGGAGGAGAAAGAAAAAAAAAAAGAGAAATCTCTGCCACTATCAAAGATGACTGAGGGAGATGGAAGTCAGGGAGCCCCATTGCTTTTTCTGCAAGAATAAGATGAGGAAGTAGAAAGAGAAGGTAAGAGAAAAATAAAATGGCATAAAAGGGGAGAAATATGATTTTCAGTATTTTGAAAGAAAGTGAGTGAGTTGAGTTAAAAAAAAAAAATTAAAAAAAAAGGTCATATTTATATGTGCAGGGTTCTTGAAAAAATTGGTAAGCAAGAAGAAACTTTTTTTTTTTTAGCTGTTGTTTCTGCTTCGCTGATACAAAAGTGAGGGTAAAAGTAAGGAATGAGTTTTTAAATGTTATTTTTACTGACTTTTTTTTACATTTCACTCCTCAAAGGAAGCGAAAATATTACAGTTCATCATGCAATATTTGTCAACAATGCAGGTAAATAAATATCAATTCTATACCATGTACATACAAAAATAATAATAACATATATATATATTATGATTTTTTAAATTAAAAAAAAATAAATCCTTAATACTACATTGCTTTTTTTCTGTTACTTTCTTTTATTTTTTTTTTTTCATATTCAAGAATATGAGAGAGTTTCCTTTTGTTAACTGATTGAATTTACAGTATTTTTATTTTAACAATTGGTTGTCTTTGACAATCGGAAAGCATTTTTACCTTTTCTATGTGCTAGTATAAACATTTTTACTTTTGTATGGTTAAATCCAATTTCTAAGTGACCATATAAACAGTTTCATCCTTGTGTTGCTAAATCCAATTTTTTAAGTGTCTATAAAAAGAGTTTTACCCTTGTATGGTTAAATCCAATTTCTAAGTGGCAGTATAAATATTTTTACCTGTGTGTGCTTATATCCAATTTCTAAGTGTCTGTATGTAGATTTTTACCTTGTGCAATTAAATACAATTTCTAAGTGTTTATATAAACATTTTTTCACTGGTGAGGTTAAATCCACCTTCTACATTTCTGGATAAATATTTTTACCCTTGTTTTGCTAAATTTAAAGACCACTGACTCTGGGTGTTGACTTCAATGTCCACTTTTATATTTATATATACTCTGTGCTCTATTCCTCACGTTGAGTACTTTAACCCATAAATATAGCATACCTTAAAATTATATTTTATAATACATATACATATATATATATATATATATTAAAGGGATTATATATATTTTTTTTTCTTCAAAATTTGCTATAGTTACAAGATATTCAATATCAGAGATAAATTTTATAAATATTATAACATTATTACATTGAAGTGTGAAATTGACAGTCACAATGCAATGTTGCTTTCTATGATCTCTCCCTCTACATACATACATACATACATACATACATATATATATATATATATATATAAAGTAGTATTCATTAGCTAAATTAATTCTGTCAGTAACTATCTCCCTCTCTCTCTCTCTCTCTCTATATATATATATATATATATATATATATATAAAAGTGGACACTGAGGTCAACACCAAGTAGGAACAGTCTGTTTCATGCTGGATGATGCTTGATTTATCAGTGTAGTATGGTAACTAATGACAGAAAGTGTGACACAGAAATAAGGATGTTTTAAGAATATGAATATGAACTACAAAAACCTCCTGCTCACAATCAGAAAGAAATGGTGGACATTTTGGTCACATAATGAGAAAAGAAGGCTTGGAGAATTAAAGTAACAAAAGCATAGAAAAGCAGCAAGAAATTATTTTACCTCAATTACATTCAGTCTAGGAGATTAGCTTAGTGGATTGTTTTGTGAATTTGTTGAAATATTAATTATGTGTTCAATTCATGGGCTGTTTTTACAGACTTAGACTCAGTGGAGATAAAACAAGCAATAATCAAGAAGTAGAAGAAAGAACATCGTAAAGCAAGACATAGACAGCAGAATGAGGACGCAGTGAGGTATTCCAAGACATGGACAGCAGAATGAGAACACAGTGAGGTATTCCAAGACATGGACAGCAGAATGAGGACACAGTGAGGTATTCCAAGACATGGACAGCAGAATGAGGACACAGTGAGGTATTCCAAGACATGGACAGCAGAATGAGAACACAGTGAGGTATTCCAAGACATGGACAGCAGAATGAGAACACAGTGAGGTATTCCAAGACATGGACAGCAGAATGAGGACACAGTGAGGTATTCCAAGACATGGACAGCAGAATGAGAACACAGTGAGGTATTCCAAGACATGGACAGTAGAATGAGAACAATTTGTCCTTGTAGATTAAATAAAAATGTTCAGTTATAAATTCCCTGAATGTTATCCAGCTTAACAGACACCTGAAAAAAAGATGGAGGATACAATAGCCAAAGTGTTGTGATAATAATATTATAGATGTATATGGTTGCATGAGAGAATAAAGAAAATAACAAGGTACTGCCACTCCAGCCATTTCTAGTAGGCCTCCAGTTCCAGCCATCTCCAGAAGCCCTTCATCTCCTTCCACTCCAGCCAACTCCAGCTATCTTCACCAGCATCAACTCTCTTCTGCAGCTACAAAACTCTCCTTCTCAGGACAATACTCTTCTCATACTCTACATGAGAATGCAGAGATAGTTTTGGCTAGTGCACAGTAACCTTATTTTTGTTGATGTATTTTCTTTAACAAAAATAAACTTGGTAATATATTTTTTACTCAAGTCTTTGTCTTCCATCATTCAATATTTGTTTGCGGGCTACTATATACCATCTGCAGCAACCTGTATCCTTTACCCATGTCAAAATCACATAGCTTTGATGCCTCATCGATATCTTTGCATTTTTCACGGAATTTCAATTTCTTCAGTTCATTCATTTCTTAACTCTTCTTGCAGCTTGTCCTAGATGTTTTTCTTCTGGCTTGTTTTTTTTTTTTCTGTAGAATTTGTCCTTCTGTATTCTATAGCTTCAGCATCATTGCACTTTTTTTACTCACCTGCTTCGGTGTGATTAGTCTAGTCATACTGTATTCTTTTCTTTGCTGCATCTTTCAGGTAAACTATTTAAAACTGTTACTATTCTTTTTCTCTCCTTTTCATTTGCACGTACTCTTCCTTCTCATAGCTAACTACTTTCTTACTTCAATATTTTTTTATCTCTATTCTTCTGCCATCTCTTTCTCACTTTGTTATCGACATCTTACTCTTCTCCATATAGTCCTCTCCTTCTAACAGGTACCCCCTCTTTTTCTCACACAGCTCCATCCCCCACCAAACATTCTTGTATAACTTTACAACCAATGCATCATATCTCTTCAGTAAATAGGTGATCATGGCTCTCCACAACTTTCTATTTTATGTGTGTCAGCAGTTTTTCTCTCTTTGCTAAGACCTCACCCCTGTTCTGCTATCCATTCAAACTGTCTTGTGAGTAAATGGCTCACTGCATTTTACTATCTCTCTTGTTCCCAATAAGACCTGTGAGGGTAAATTTTTCCAAGCCTTCCTTCCTCATTATGTATGTATCTCTTCCTGATTCTTAGTAGAAGTGTTCTTTCTGTTACTATTTTCTTTAAGACATTCTTGTTGTTTACCTGCTCCATTCATGGATTTTTCAGTATTCTTCTGTAGAACTACTTTTCTTCTGCTTCTACCTTTTTTCCTCGTCCTAAGAAAGACGGCCCAGCATTCACTCCCATATAAGCGACTGAATACGACATAGAAATCTAACATGCTTTGTTTTTAATTTTTCCATTTCTCAGCATCATATTTAGTTTTTGGAATGCGTCTTTCACTAGTCCAATGCCTTTTTGGATCTCAGTGTCACATTTTCCATCCTCTTAAAACATTCCCCAGTTACTTCAAATTCTGCACCTGCTTGATGTTGACTTCTCCAATTTCTAATGCACATCCTGGGCTTTTTCTCTTACTAATGACCATACATTCTGTCTTCTAGCAGTTGATGGTTAGTCCTTTTAAATATTCACTAATTGAAGTTAATTCTCAGAGATACAGATTATTTTGATTCTTTGTTGGTTGAATGGCGCCATCTGACATTGGCAACATCAGAGTTTCCATTTCTTAGTCTTCTTAATCAATCCCAAGACATTTTACGAGATGGCTATATAAATTCTTCATCAAAGAGCATCAACGGTCAGGTCTTTGAGTTTTGCAGTGATGTAAAATTAAATAGAACTACTGGAGCATTCACAAAGTCAGAACAGTAGAAACAATTAGAATTAAATGTTTGCTAATAAGATCTGAGTGAATCATGCAATCTGATCTTTGGAAATGAAGTGAGGGTGGGTGTCATGTTCTATGGAAATGATTGTTTCAATAACAGACTCCCAAAATACACACAAGAGAATAGTTCCTTTTATTTCCCTTTTTTAGTAGAATAGATAATTGAAAAATCAATTGAATTTGTTTTCCTAATATTGCCACTTTTTTGGTCAGTCAGTGTGCATGTTGCTGTATATTTCATACATACAGATAGTTGTATGTATATGTATATATACGGATTTTCAAAAACTGGTAATAATTTTCAGTCTTGTTGAATTGTAAATTTTACGTATCTGAATACGAATATGAGAGGGGAGAGGGAGAGACAGAAAGAAAAAGGGGGAGAAGCATGCAAGTGAAGCAGAGAAAAAGAGGCCAAAATATGTGAGGGAGAGAAAAAGAAGCCAAAAAGTGAGGGGGAGAAAAAAAGGGTCCAAGAAAGCGAGAGCAAGAGAAAAAGAACCCAAAATGTAAGAGTGAGAGAAAGAGAAGCCAAAAAGTGAGAGCAAGGAGACAAAAAGCAAGAGAGAGAAAAAGAAGTCAAAAGGTGCAAGAGAAAATTGAGGTCAAGAAAAAAAGAAGGGCAAAGAATAAAAGGGTGAGAAAAGATGGGAAAAAATAACAGAGTGAGAAAAGAATAAAGAGGCAAGAAAAAGGGACAGAAACATGGACGACAGAAAAAGGGACAAAAAACAAGGAGGAAAGAAAAAAGGACAAAGAACAAGGAAGAAGGAAAAAGGAACAAAAAATAAGGAGAAAAGAAAAAGGGACAAAAAACAAGGTGGAAAGAAAAAGGGACAAAAAACCTGGAGGAAAGAAAAAGGGACAAAAGACGAGGAGGAAAGAAAAAAGGACAGAAAACATGGAGGAAAGAAAAAGGACAAAAAACATGGAGGAAAGAAAAAAGGACAAAAAACATGGTGGAAAGAAAAAAGGACAAAAAACATGGTGGAAAGAAAAAGGACAAAAAACATGGAGGAAAGTAAAAGGACAAAAAACATGGAGGAAAGTAAAAGGACAAAAATCAAGGAAGAAAGAAAAATGGACAAAGAACAAGGAAGAAAGAAAAAGGGACAAAAAACATGGAGGAAACAAGAAGGGACAAAAAAAAAGGAGGAAAGAAAAACGGACAAAAGACAAGGAGGAAAGAAAAAGGGACAGAAAACAAGGAGGAAACAAAAAGGGACAAAAGACAAGGAGGAAAGAAAAAAGGACAAAAAACAAGGAGAAAAGAAAAGGAGACAAAAACATGGTGGAAAGAAAAAGGGACAAAAAAGAGGTTATAAACTGAATAAGAGTTAGTTAAAGCATTTGGAGAAAGGCCAAAATATTGTTAAATGCAAAAGTTAAAGAAAAAGAAATGTCACAACAAAAAGGCAAATATAGACAAAGTTAGAAATACCAACAGAGCAAGAAATACATGATCAGAAAGGCAAAGATTTGTTTATGCCTTGATCAAATAATAGATCTTTCCTATTAAAAAACAGAGAAAATAAACATTCATTTAGTGGGAAAATTACTTTAATATTTCATTGGCTTAGTTTGCTTTGTTTTTTTTTTTTTTCATATATTATCCTTTTACATAGACAAGGGAGAAAGCAATGGTGTATTTTTAATTATTGGTGAAGAGAGTAAAGGTCAAGAAAGCACTAAACTAGTATCAAGGAATTTAGAGATTCATTCATGTGAATTCAGACAAACTCCACAGAGAGACATTTCTATGAATTATGTTCTCAACTTCTGAGCTTTAGAATCTAATGATTAACAATTGAATCAAAGTTGCAATAAAAGTTCCAAACAAACAAAATAAAACTTGCTTTCCTTAGTTTCCCAATTTTAATTTCTGGGACTGTGTTGGGGTTGCAGAGTTATTTACTTTTTCTTTAGACAAACGTTTAGTTTGTAATTCTGGGATTAAAATTTGTCTTTCTTAATTCTTATTAGTTGAATGTTTTACCCAACATTTGGCAATAAAATTATTCTGAATATGAGGGGACACTAAAAAGTTATTGCCCCAACCAAGACATGATCTCAGAATAAAAGTTAATAATTCTAAATGATATTATTATCATCCTCCACTCACCAACATTGTACATATAGAACTAGTTATGACTTCATAGAAAAATTGTAGTATTAGGTTTTCTATAGTATGACTGATAAAGTTGGCTGGCTGTTTCTATTGAGTGGCATATCAACCTCTATGGGTTTTTCATTCTGAAATCTAAATATTTTATAATCAATTTTATTTTATTTTTTTTTGAGATAATAGCTTTAGTGATGCAAGTCTTACTAATTAACCCATAGCTAAGGAGAGAAGAGGTAGATTCATACCTTTCCCAAGGGTATTTGCACTTAAGTGAATATGATGAACCCGACTGGAATTAGAACTTGATCCTCTGATTAACAAATCTGAGCCATTATTCATTACACCACCTGCTCACCCAAGCTGACAGCACTTCATGTTCCCAAGCAGTCACCCATTAAGTACTGACAAGGTTCAATGTTGCTTAATTTTGGTGATCATATTGGAACTCATGTGATGTGGTCATAAGCTCTTGACTGATGAAGTGTATTCCTGTAGATATCACTGTCATTCTAAAAAAAATTTAATTGTAAAAGACAACTCAAGATAATTGAGGCAGTTTATATATATATATATATATATATATATATATATATATATATATATCAATTTAAGCCAAATCTCAATCTTACCCTATATGACAATGATAATATTGGTTGGTTACCTTTCAAGGGACCCCAACATGGATTCACAACTATATTTCTTGTAAGATAGTTTAAAATTTCTAAGACTTCAACTTACAATACATACACAGAAAAACATTTGCAACAAATCCATTGAAAATGCCAAATGAAGAAATTTAAGAACACTAAAAAAAAGATTTTCATTGTATTTCAAATTCAATGAAACATGGACATTGTGCAGCCAAAATAACTCCCACATAACAGTAAGACATCAGTTAGATGAAGACACAATTGCCACTAATGCCTTAACATTATGTGGGAGGTATTTCTGCTGCACTGTATAAAAGAAAGGTTGCTGCCCAAATACATGACACATTCTGTGACCAAATAGTCTAAAGCATACCAGATCAGATGGTGGTTTTTCCTGAAAAGGGGGACACAGGTTTGATCTCTGCTGGAGAGCACATTTTCTTTAATAACTCTCTGAAATATGCAGGTTGGTAGACATAATTCGCACTGTTTAAAAATGGGGCGTTTACCCAAACATGTGTATCCACTAAAAATAAACAAGAGGATGTACAATCTTTAAGAGACTAATTGAACATTGCTGCAGTGTAATGCTCTCTGTGGCTGAGCAGGTTAACATATGGTGGACCAGACTGTGGTTTCTATTATGAAAGGTAGGGATGCAGGCATGAACTCTGATGGAAAGTGCACTAGACTTGAATACACAAATGAATAGCTATAATGAGGACATCTAATTAAACATGAATATCCTCTAAAATAGCATTTTTAGTAATATATATATATATATATATATATATATATATATATATATATATATATATATATATATATATGAAAAGTGTATATAAATATAAATAAATATATATATGTATAATTATTTATATATTATATGCGGTACTTATTATATGTGAAAAGTGTATATATTTTTAAAACATTAATCAGTTTGTCTGACGATCGCTAAAGCGTGAAACCCAGGGTCACAAACTCATATCTATCCATCCAAATATATATATATATATATATATATATATATATATATATATATATATATATATATATATATATATGTGCCATTCCATAAACCATTGGTTTCATATGATCACCAAGGTTAAAATCAATGTTGGTCAGTACCTAGATGGTTGATCAATTGGAATACCAGGGTGTGCAGGTGGTGTAATGGATAATAGTTTGGAATTGTTAATCAGAAAGCCAGATTCAAATGCACCACTTCTCCCCCTCACTTATGGGTTAATTAGTTAGATTTGTATCACTAGACCATTATTCAAAAAATGAAAATTTCTTGCAATCTAAAACTATTTTCTGGTTTTAAAATAACCTGCAAAAGACTGATAACCATAGAAAATGAATGAATGAATCAATCAATCAATCAATCCCTATAAAAAAAAAAGAACTGGTAATAAACTAACAACAATACTGGACAAAATTTCCTTTTTGAAAAAAAAAAGTGGAAGACAGAAAAAAAAATTGAAAATGTTGGGGGAAAAAAAAAAGTCAAGAAATTCCAGAAAAAATAAAAAATGCTAAGATTTGAACCTGGGTCTCATGGTTGGAAAATTCTTATTCTAACATTATGGCCACACAGCCATACAAAAAGCATAAGATTGCAAAAGAAAAATTAAATAAAACAAGCTAATGAAAATATTAAAAGAATTTTTCTACTAAGAGAATGTGTACTTTCTTCATTTTTTCTACTATTTACTACACATACATGTTTTATTGAACAAGGTAAACTAGATACTTTTGTTTAGTATTTTTATTATGTTTTTCTTGTATATATACAATTTCCTATTTGATCAGGAAATACACAGATTGTGGAATATTTCTGATTATTTATTTCTAACTAATCATTCTTAGTAATTGAAATGCTAACAATTTCACCTCCATTTCAAATAACTACTGTTTCAATTCTCGTTTTTCAACCTGTAAAGTTTGGCATAACTGCTTTCCTATCTTGCTTCCAGCATTTAATGTGGATATTTGTAAAATCTGTTATTCCGAAGTGGTATAAATGTTTATCATGAACAATCTTGTCACTGCTGTCATTAAACTGATCATGTTTGCCCTTTTATGAATCAGTCATTTTTCAGATGTTTAAGACAACCTTAAATATTGCCACTTTGTCATTCGCAAGAATCTCCCCAACTCTCATCATCCCACCACCCTCAAACCACTATTTATCTACCTACCTACCTACTATGTCAATGTGGAAATGATGGTTCTACTTGAACAATATGAAAAGGATTGAGGTAGGTTCGGGAGATGAAGAGAACCAATCGAGTTGAAGCATTGATAACATATGAATAGTTGTCCAGTCCAACTGGGGGAATGTGACAAGTCCTCTGATTGTACGATAGCCTTGGGGACAAAATAGTACAGGGCATGAAAAGAATGGAATTCACTGGCGTCCACAGCATTCCCTTGTCGGAATTTACTTTTGCATTGCAGGTAGGAATCTTTTTTGGATAAATGCATTGATAGCAATTTGAGCCTGCCCATTCTGACTGGTTATGGCTGGCGGCAATCAGCGTCCAATAGGCTCAGCTGAGAAGAGAAATCATAGGGTATTCGTGTTCAAAATCCCCCTAGTGTTTACTTGGACTATACTTTTGTATCCTTTTGTGCTGCTCTTTAGGGGTTGCAGCTGGTACACAGAGTCGAACTTGAACAACTTCATCAAGTCTAACAATGTAAATATATTCAGCAATGGACAAGCTAAAAAAAAAGGGGGGAAAAGAAAATTATATGTTAGCTGAAAAGGCTCAGACACAAATGTAAAGACATTAGCTTCTGTGAATTTAAAAATATAGTTATATATATATATATATATATACATGCAAGTAAAAATGTCTTGCTTGGTATAAATTTGATTAAAAAAATTGCATTAACAAATATAAACATTCATGTGTATGTTTGCATATAAATATACAAATGGACTGATTTCAGTATTTGCATATTTAATATTAATTAATAAGCACAAACATTATATGCACATTCATACATACATACATACATACACTTGTATGTAAGTATAGAAAAGGCTAATTAGGAAGTTGCAGAAAAGATAAATGTCTTATGACACAATAAGGTCCTGACCATATATATATATATATATATATATATATATATATAGGTAAAAGATTTAGGAAAACTATTAATTGATTATTT